CCCGGGACAGGGTCAGGATCCTCTCCTAATGAGGGATGAAGAGCTGAAATCAGGCACAACACCACATGTTTTGACTCTTTGTACCTTATTTTGACTTTTTTTTGCTCCTGGATTGACAGCAAGAGGGAGAGACAGCAATATCTAGGGCCAGGTAGATTAACCCTAACCCTCAGAGATGTTAATCACATTAACTGTGACCAAGAGTGAGCCATCCTGTGCCTTTAGTTTGTATGAAGGAAGATTAAAATTTGGAAACCTGATATGCTAATGGTATAAAGATTCTCAATCTTTCTTGTGTTACTTCAATGTTTTTACTTCAGTTTAACTGAGGTGAGTCTCTGTCTATTTAAATGTAATAATCATAAAACCTGTCCTCAGTATTCAGTCATTGATTGAGTAATAAAGATTAATTAATGAAGATTAATTGATGAAGACTTGTTTGAGTCCTGCTTGTCTATATTCACTTTCTGTTATTACTTGTAGACTGTGGGTCAGTTTTAAATTTATGTGTTTAATCTCTTCAACTGTGCATCTCTCATTCTCATTTTCAGCAGCTTGGGTTAGTTTCCTAGCTGACATATTGAGGTGAGACAACGAGAGGAAATTGAACAGGAAGAACTTTGGACACACAGACAGTAACATCCCATGGCTCATTGTTTGAACATGCCAGGAGCAAAGGATTTATTTACAGATTGGTGTAATCAGAGTCACTATATCCTCGACAGCAATCAGGGAGAGTGGATAGCTACAGTACAGGATACACCACTCCGAACTTACTGATGCTTTTTACAGTTTGATCCTATAACCTGTTGTATAAGTGAGGAATCTCACTCTTTGTCAATCCTGAACTGTGTAAAGAAAGTACCTACGTTTAGTCACCGAACAGTGAGGCTGACATCACAGCAGCAGTTTGTTGAGTTGGTCAATGGTTCGGAGCTGATCACTCCTCCATCATAACCATAACCAGCTGTAACTCACAAAGAAAGCAGACAAACTGACGAAGTACGTTGCAGCTATTGACATTGCCACAGCTTCAGGTGGTGACCCTGTGGGACACGAGTAGAAATCTCAAACTGTTATTTACACAATTTACAGCTTTGTGATCATTTCTGTGCTGCCTGCAGTGGCAGAGCAAGTGGAAACATTAACAGTACGGGGACCCTCTACACCGGCTCACACTAACTCACACTCACACCGGCTCACACTAACTCACACTCACACCGGCTCACACTCACACCGGCTCACACTAACTCACACTCACAACGGCTCACACTAACTCACACTCACACCAGCTCACACTCACAGCGGCTCACACTCACAGCGGCTCACACTAACTCACAGCAGCTCACACTAACTCACACCGGCTCACACTAACTCACACTCAAACCAGCTCACACTAACTCACACTCACACCAGCTCACACCGGCTCACACTAACTCACACTCACACCGGCTCACACTCACACCGGCTCACACTAACTCACACTAACTCACACTCACACCAGCTCACACTGGCTCACACTAACATACTCACACCGGCTCACACTCACACCGGCTCACACTAACTCACACTCACACCGGCTCACACTCACACCAGTTCACACTTACACCGGCTCTCACTAACTCACACTCACACCTGCTCACACTCACACCGGGTCACACTAACTCACACTCACACTAACTCACACTTACACCGGCTCACACTCACACCCGGCTCATACTAACTCACACTCACACCAGCTCACACTAACACCGGCTCACACCAGCTCACACACACCGGCTCACACACACACTGGCTCACACTAACTCACACTCACACCCGCTCACACCAACTCACGCTCACACTGGCTCACACTAACTCACACTCACACCCGCTCACACTAGCTCACACTCA